GGCAGTGACAGGTAGAAGAGCAGAAGCAGCTAGGAGAAATCTCTTTTCCTGCTGGTTTCTGAGCTCCTGGAAGGGTCACTGCAGATGGCCTTATTCACTCCCGATGTGAAGAGTGCCCTGGAGTTGTGCAGTATAGCTGCTCTGAGGAGCTGCTAGAGCCAGTTCACAGGCCAGGGGTGTTCCATGCCATGGGCCACCCACTGAGGTTGGCCAGCTCAAGTTCCACAGAGCTGGGGAGCATGAGGGTGGCCTGGGAGGATAAGCCTGATCCCCAAGTACCACTTCCAGTGCTGGCAATACTGACTTTGTAATTGGACAATTTGGGGAGCCAAGACAGAGGGTCCCCAAGGACTCTGTCCTCTAGGAGTGCCGAAAGGACTGGCATGGCATCTGACCCAGACAGCCTCTCAGAAGAACACTGCCAACTCCCCCACCCTCAAACCCGCACTCTCCCAGCTTCAACACACATCAGCAAGGCGATGCTAAGCCTCCCTGAGTCTCGGTTTCCATCCCTCTCAGAATACTGTTTTGAAATGCACAAAATGAAATGAGTAGAATTACAAAGGAGACCAATTTTTTTTTTTTTTTGGTGGTGCTGGGGTTTGAACTCAGGGCCTCACACTTGCTAGGCTGGCACTCTTGCCATTTGAGCCATTCCAATGGTAATGAACTTTTTTGAGACAGGGTCTCGAGAACTATTTGCCTGGGGCTGGCTTCGAACCATGGTCCTCTGATCTCTGCCTCTTGAGCAGCTAAGCTTACAGGCGTGAGTGTCCGGTGCCTGGCAAGACCAGTTATTTTGAAATACAGTTATCATGAAAAACCACATTGCAGTTCAGAAATATATAGAATTCCTTGTTAGTGCATTAGAAAGACTCAGCATTAGAGGACAGGCATGGTGATGTACAACTGTACCCAGCTATGTGGGAGCCACAAGTGGAAGGATCATAGCCTGAGGCAGGCCCAGGCAAAACAAAAGCGTAGACCCTATCTGAAAAAAATAACTAAAGCCAAAAAGGGCTGGAGGTGTGGGCAAAACTTTCTCTCTTTTTTTTTTTTTTTTTTTTTTTTGGATGGGGCTGAGGCTGGAAACTCAGGGCTTTGTGTTTACAAAGCAGGCACTCTAGGTAGATCTACTCTAGGTAGATCACTTACCTAGCAAACATGAGGCCCTGAGTTCAAGCCCCAGTACTGGGATTAAAAAAAAAAAGGATTTAACATTAGCATTGGTGTAAATAGCTAGCCACAACTTCAAAACACTAATAAGTGTGTTGAAATATATTATGATATAACTGCAATAACTTATCTGGGCAGGTATCCAATATCTGATAGCCACAGTCAAATACTTAGATCCAGGCATGGCGGTGTAGGTCTGTAGTCCCAGGTACTTGAGAGCCTGAGGCAGGAAGGTCACTTACATTTGGAAGTTTGAGACCAGTCTGGGCAACCCTAGACCTCATTTAGAAAAAAAAATCTGTAACAAAGTCACTAATAAGTCCGATAACAATGTATAGGGATATGGACTGGAGGTGTGGCTCAAGTGGTAGAGCGCCTACTTTGTACATATGAAGCCCTGAGTTCAAACTCCAGTCCACAGGGAAAAAAAATGTCTAGATGTGGCTCAAGTTATGATGAAATTATGTTCCAAAAAAAACCCATCACAGATTAAGAATATCCTAAATCAAAAATATGCTTATTTAGTACTTATTTAATACACCTAGCTTGACAAACATCATCACCTGACCTCCTCTACCTTAAACATGCTCAGAGCACAACACTCACAATAGCCTACAAAGCCATCAATGGCAAAACCATCAAAAGCAAACCCTATTTTATTATAAAGTGTCACCTAATGTTACTTATTGAATACTGCATTGAAAATGAAAAGCAGTGCCATTTGTATGGGTCCTCACCATGAATGGATAGTTAGTATATGTTAAAATAGACTTTCTACTGAATGCTTGTTAATTTTGCAAAACATCATAAAGCTGGAAAATCATAAACTGAATCACTTGTAAACCAGGGACAGCCTGTACTATTTTGTTACCTATATCCAATAACCTTAGTTAGATGTTAGGAATAGATGAAATAGTTTTCCCATCCAATTTCATGGATCCCTGGAATTCCATGTCTCCCCCCACACACACACACTGCCAAAAATAAGAATCCATGATCCAGCATGCCCATAATCCCAACATTTGGGAGGCTGGAAAGGAGGATCAAGAGTTTGAGGCCAACTTGAACTACATAGTGAGACCCTATCAGAGAGAGAGAGAGAGAGAGAGAGAGAGAGAAAGAGGGGGGAAGGAGGGAGGGAGGGAAGAAGAAAAGGGAAGGGAGAAGAAAGGGAGGGAGGGAGGGAGGAAGGAAGAGAAATCAGGATCCAGGAAGAATAAGTCAGCAAGTTATGTTAGGACTTGCTAGGCTGCCCAGGAGGTGGGATGGAAACATTAGACCAAAGTCAACAGAGCCAGAGAAAGTTTCTGGATAAAATTTTTGAATTTTGATGCAGAGATGTAGGTGGAGAGGAATTGGGCATAGTTGTAAAAGGGGTAATGGAATAGGAGCCACACATTAAGCACACCAGAACTCATGGGTGTGCTTTTTCTTTTTGCAGTCAATGAAATGAGAATAATGAATGAAAATGAAAAATGGAAATGGGGTCTCAAATGAAAAATGGAAAAGGGGTCTCAAAAATGAAGTCCCTTAGCTGGGCATGGTATCATGCACCTGTTCCAGCTTCTCAGGAGGCTGAGGCTTGAGTCCAGGAGTTCAAGACCAGCCTGGACAACCTAGTAAAACTGTTGTTGCTGTTTGTTTTTTTTTTTAAAGTGAAGCATCTTGACAGAGCCAAGCAATAGGAAGCGGTGGTCCTGGAAAAATAGTTGTTTGGATTCAGACTCTAGCTAATTCCTTCTACACTGACCACAGGGAGCCGGAGGGTAGGGGCACCCGCCAATGGCAGGGATTCAGTTCAGAGTAGAAGGGAAAAGTTGGACCCAAGAACCAGGTGACCTGGCTTCTCCTCTCATTATTTGTGAGACATTTGCCTGATTTATTTGTACCTTTCTTTTTTCATCGGTGAAGTGGCGCCAATACCTCATCAAGCAACTAAATGTGAGTTCTAAAAACATATGAAGTACGTAGATCACAAAGCTTGACACAGCATAGTCTTGGGCTACTTCTGCAGTTTTCTTTTTGAATCAGCACAGTGACCATTTCAACCAGCCTGCCTCCTCTCTCTGGTCAGAGAGTTCTAGAACACCAGGGGACACCAGAGTCCAGAGGGGCCTGCCTGCCCTTAGCCCGAAGGGTGGGTAAGCTACTAGCCATCCAATCACAGCTGGTAAGAAAGTGGGTGAACAAACACCAGCATCAGCAGAATCCTGCTGGAGGTCGGGGGTGGATCTCTGGTCGAGGGTCAAGGGAGCCCCAATCCTCAAGCTGATGAGTTCATGTGCAGGTTGAGAAGGGGCAGAGATTTAGTGAAAAGAAAGCTTGCCATCAGACAGACTCAGCTCCACTGTGGGGCTATATGCAGCTGTGTGCAGCTGTGTGAACTGACTACTACACAATTCCAGGGGTGCCTTTACATTGCCTGCTAGGGAGTGCTCTTGGGAAGCCCTTGGAGTTACAGAATCCCACTGCCCCCCTGTGAGACCATCCTGGCTCTGCCACTGCCTAGTTCCAAGATCTTCAGCAAGCTACTTACTCTTAGGTCTCATCAATAAAATGGGACCACCTTAATGTCTCTTGTGTTTCCAACACTAAGATCCCATCAGTTGCTCAATAAACAGGAGTTTCCTCCTGGCTTCCCCCCAGACCCTTCCCAAGCTTTATGGAACTAAGGGTGTGAGGTTCTAAGGAGTGAGCCTAGCCTACCCCTGGTAGAGAGAATGTCAGGATAGTTGGACAGGTAAGAGAGGAGGGGCCCCCAGCCATGGTCCAACTAATCCCTGCCTGCTGCCCTTTCCTTTGGCAAACAGAGTAGACAGGTGCCCCAATCCCCGGAGGCCTCCTCTGGCTAATGATTTCCCAGCCCTCGGAGAGGCTCTGTCAGGGAAGCTGGACCCCCCTGACATATGGGGCTGACTGTCTGGCCTCTATTCCTAGCCCAGTCTAGGCTTAAGGTCAGACTTCTCTGGACTTAAGGGTCTTGTGAGGGAAAGGGAGTTTCTGATAGCCAAATACTGGGTTTGCTCCACAGTTCCCTGCACAAGGTGGGTATTGAGGAACCACTCACATAGCCTGTGTGTGAATGGTTCCTCTAGAGTTGTGTGATGCAGGGGTCAGGTCAAGATTGCAAAGAGGAAACCCTCTGCCTTCCCAAAACTTTCCAGTGATCCATTCATACAAGATTCTATCTGAAGCCTGATAGGTCCTGGGCTCTGAGGATCCAGATGCCACCAAACTGACTCTGTCCTCATGGATCTTACTGCCTAGTGAGAAAACACACTACATAGTCATACAAATAAACATTCTTACAGGCCTGGCACTGGTGGCTCACGCCTGTAATCCTAGCTACTCAGGAGGCCAAGATCAAGAGGACTGCGTTTCAAAGCCAGCTAGGGCAGATGGTTTGTGATGTCCTATTTTGAAAAAACCCAACATAAAAACAGGGCTGGTAATAGAGTGCCTGCTTAGTAAGCATGAGGCCCTGAGTTCCAGTCCCAGTACCTCTGGCAGCCCTCATCTCATCTCACGATCCTCAACTGGCCCTCCTATGGTCCTCTTTGGCTGGAAGGGGCCTGAGACCCAACTCCAGATTCTCCAGTGTGGCTGGATTATAATGACTGGGTCCCAAAGTCAAAGGCAGAGTGGTGAATGCTTTTCTTTGGCTTTTAATTTCTATTTTGAGATGGGACCTTGGGCTTAGGAATCAATGACATAGGCTCTCCCCACCTGTTACAAATGGCCCCATTTCTCTCAGGGGCAGGACAGGGAAAGACTCTGGGATACCTGCCCTCTCCAACATCTCTACCCCTCCTTCTCGCCCACAGGAAGCCTACTGTGCCTATGCCATCATCCTCATAGCACTCTTCTGGTGCACTGAGGCTCTGCCCCTGGCTATCACCGCCCTTCTCCCCGTCATCCTGTTCCCCCTGATGGGCATCATGGATGCCTCTGAGGTGAGCTGCACCCATCCAGAGGAGGAAGGACTCGTGGCAGAGGAGTGGGGGGCAGGGGATGTCTTCCAAGAGTCCTGGTGACCAACAAGCATCATTACAGGAGCATGGAAGAGGGGTTCCTGCCTTTGCTTGGTAGGTCAGAGAACACTGATTGAGAACCAGCTGAAAGACAGGGGAAGGTCATTCTAGAAATATGTGTGGCTAGTGTAAGAGTTATTCAAGGTGAGATTGATTAGCCTTACCAAGGAAATAGAAGGTGTGGTACAGGAAAAGAGCCTTGAAAGCCAGCAATAGAGCTTATACAAGCTGGGTGTAGTGGCTCACATCTTTAATCCTAGCACTTAGGATGCTGAGGCAAGAGAATCGTGAGTTCAAGGTCAGCCTGGGCTACATAGAGAGACCTTGTTTCAAAAAAATTTTTTTTAATTTAAAAAACAAACTGGGCATGGTGGTACATACCTGTAATCCTAGCCACTTGGGAGGCAGAGATAGGAGGATAGAGACAGGCCAGTCTGGGCAAAAAAGTTATCAAGACCCCAATCTTAAAGAACAAACTTGGAGGCAAGGGATGGTTCATACCTGGAATCCCAGCTACTTGGAAGATGTAAGTGGATCAAAGTCTGAGGCTGGCCTGGGCAAAAAGCGTGAGACCCCACCTGAAAAATAACTAAAGCAAAAAAAAGGACCAGAAGTGTGGCTCAAGGTAGAGTGCCTGCCTACCAAGCTATAAGGCCCTGAGTTCAAAATCCCAATACCACCAAAAAGATTTTTAAAAATCAATAAAAGAGCTTATTCAGTCATCCCTCAGTATCCACAGAAGATGGTTCCAGGACTCACCAGCCCCCTGGGTACCAAAATCCATAGTTATTCAAATCCTTTATATAAAATGCTGTGGTATTTGGGTTCAGCCTATGAACACCCACGTTAAATAATCTCTAGATTACTTAGCATGCCTAATGCAAGGTCAGTAGTTTCCATACTGTAATGAATGATGAAAAGGGAAAGTCTGTACACATTCAGTATGGATGTAATTGTTTTCCGGATATTTTCCATCCAAGGTTGGTTATATCCATGGATGAAGACCCCACATATAGATAAGGACCCCACACATACAGACCCCACCTGACTGTGCACTTCTAGTTCAGTGACTCTTGAACTTGAATGAGCACCAGAATCACATGGAGAGCTGGGTAAAACACAGGTAGCTGGGCCTCATCCTTGAGTTTCTGATTCAGTAGATCTAGAGTGAGGCTTAAGCATTTCATGTCCTTTTATCTATTTATTTTTTCAGACAGGGACACATAATAAGGCCCAGGCTGGCCTTAAACTCGTGATCCTCCTCCCCAGCCTTCTGAGTGCTGAGATTACAAGCACGTGCCTCCGTGCCTGACCAAGCGTTTCATTTCTAACAAGTTCCAGGTGAAGGTGATGATACCAGCCCAGGGCCCACACTTAGAAAACCTTACTGTTAAGCTTTCTAGAAAGAGCAGGAAATTATACCTATCTCTAAGTCCATGACTTAAAACATGAAGGAAATCAGGCTAGATTGTCTCCCCATTCATCTTGAAGGGAGAAAGAGTGAGTTTGGCAAGAACAGAGAACCTGGTTCATATCAAATGTCAGATGATCTGAAGGTCATTTCCATTTGGGCTCAGAGGAATGAGAGTTTGTAGGAATGTCAGTACCCCAGACACCCAGGGGCACCATGGGTGGCCCCGGAGTCTTTCTGCATCTCACCTGTATCCCTGCCTGCCAGGTCTGCATCGAATACCTCAAGGACACCAACATCCTGTTCATTGGGGGGTTGCTGGTGGCCATCTCTGTGGAGCACTGGAACCTGCACAAACGCATCGCCCTCCGTGTGCTCCTCATCATTGGAGTGCGACCTGCTATGTGAGTTCCCACAAACTAGGACCAGAGAACTGGAGTTGTGTGGTACTTAGGCCTCCAGTCCCTGAAGGGAACCTAGAATGGTAGTGTGTCCGTCTGTCCATCTCTAGGCTGATCCTGGGCTTCATGTTGGTCACGGCCTTCCTGTCCATGTGGATCAGCAACACAGCCACTACAGCCATGATGGTGCCTATCGCACACGCTGTTCTAGAGCAGCTGCACGGTACAAAAAAGGACATCGAGGAGGGCAATGACAACCCTGCCTTTGAGCTCCAGGAATCAAGTACCCAGAAGGAGGAGACCAAGCTTGGTACGAGAGATGAGGCAGACCCTGCTCCAACCCCTTGGTTCTTAGGGAAAAATCTGACCTGTTGTCCATTCTCAATGGTAGTCATCCTGGACCCTTTGGGGAAAGAAGAGAGAGGCAAGAGGCACAGTGACCAACTTGTCCTGAATTGCCTGGGGCTTTCTTGTTTTGTTTTGTTTTGTTTCCTTTCGGTACTAGGTTAAACTCAGAGCCTCATGCTTGCTAGGCAGGAACTTTACTGCTTGAGCTGCTCCTCTAGCCCTCTTTTCTGTTGGGTATTTTTGAGATAGGATCTTGTGAACTATTTGCTGGGCTGCCTTAGAACCTTGATCCTCCCGATCTCTGCCTTCTGAGTAGCTAGGATTATAGGCGTGACCCACTGGCGCCCAGATTGCTTTCCTGGTTTTAAAATACCAAGACCCACAGGCTGGGGATGTAGCTCAATGTTAGAGCCCTTGCCTAGCATGGGCAAGGCCTTGGGTTCCATCCCCAACACCACAAAAAATAATATAAAATAAAATGTCAAGACTCATTGTGCTAGGAATCGCCTCAGTTCTGGGCAATCCAAGAAGCTTGGTCAATCTAGTAAAGAGGAGAACTGAAGTCTGGGTGGGCAGTCAGGGGTCTAGACCCCATTCTTCCTGCCTGGTTTACATAATCCTCTTCCCCTCTCTGTGCCTCAGTTTCCCTCTCCCAAGAGAGGTTGGACCAGATGGTATCTACAAATACTCCCAGCCTGAGGCTCCAGGGAATACTGGGCCTACTCAGACCTATGGACGGCCTCTGACCTCCTCCCAACCTAAGTCTGGCTTATTTACTGACAAGATGCCCTAGAGGTCATGGAGCCACAGCCATGTGTTCTTTGTGTTCCGTGTGTTTCCCGTGCTGGCCCTGCCCCCAGCCCTACCTAAGCTCTCCCTTGTTCCCAGATAAGGGACAGGATACACCTGCTTCTTCAGAGCTGAGGGCACAGAAGAACCAGGAGCAGATCCGTTTCACCCAGGGCATGAGCCTGTGCGTCTGCTACTCGGCCAGCATTGGGGGCATCGCCACACTGACTGGTACCACACCCAACCTGGTGCTGCAAGGCCAGGTGGACTCGTGAGTGACAGAGTCGGGGACATGACAGGAGTGGGATGTGGGTGTCTGCATTCTCTCTGGGAGGCAAATGGGGCTGGTCAGTTACCAGGGCAATGTCCCATGTCCCCGGCAGGCTCTTTCCTGAAAACTCCAAAGTGGTGAACTTTGCCTCCTGGTTCGGCTTTGCCTTCCCCACGATGGTCATCTTGCTGCTGCTGGCATGGCTGTGGCTGCAGGTCCTCTTCCTGGGTTTCAAGTAAGTGGCAGAGTGGATAAGGGAAGCCCACGTTCTTGCTTGTACCCCTGCAAACTTGCAGGTATGCATAGTGAGGAGGCCTCTTACTCCCAAGTCTCCTCTGTGTAGTTGGGCTGTTATTTGAAGGAATTAATGGGTAGAAGATGTTACTCCGTTTAGCAGATTGACTCTTAAAGAGTGGTCATAGCTTTGTCAGTGCTGGGATTGAAAACCACATCTCCCGATGCCCAGGCCAGGGCCCTTCCCATAATGTCCCCATGATCCTTGGCTAAGTGCTTGAGAAATGCACACTGAACATGGTCAGTTATAGAAGCATTTGTTGTGCTCCTATTGCATGTCTGGCCCTGTGCTAGGCACTAAGAATACTGGAAGGCATTAGGCAAAGTCCCTGTCCCTGCAGCTCACCATCTGTCAGGCGATGACATGGCGGGGGCCATGAGAAAGGGGAGCACAGAGGATAGAGTGCTAGGGCAGTGGAGATTCTAGAAGGCTACTGGAAGAGATAGCGTCTAAGCTAATCTTACAGAACTAGAAGTCAGCCAGGTAGAGAAGGGAGTGAAGGCATTCTAGGTAGCAGGAGCAACTCCTACAAAGCACAGAAGCAAGAAAGAATCTGATGTGTTTTAGGGAACTCTGGTTAGGAGGTGCTGAAAACACAAAGAGAAAAAGGACATGAAGCCTAAGAGGCAGTAGGGGAAGATTACAAAGGATCTTGTGTGCTGCATAAAGAGTTGGGACTTTATCCTTGAGGCCAAGAATGATAAGTAGATTCCATTCCTACTTGCAACCTAAGTTACTTACAGTCTCTGTTCCAAGCTCTGCATTAAAAATCATTGGAGACCTTGCTAAGGTTCAGTTGAAATCAAGTCTGTGATTGATTAATGATGTCTGCTGTGCATACAGAACCAGAGTAGTGGTCTGAGTGTTACTATGGTATTAGTCATTATTTGCTCTGCCTTCCCAGGGAGAAGAGAGCCATTGAAAGTTTTTACGTATTGTTACTGTACTTTTGACAAATCCCTCAGGCAGATGCAAGGAGGTTGGATTAAGGGTGGGGGCTGGTACAAGGCAAGACAGTAGTGGAAGAGATCAGTGCGGTGCCGGGCGCCATGGGGAAGTCAAAGATGTATGAAGCTTGGTCTTTGCCCTGAAGGAATTTACAGTCCAGGAGGGGAGTGAGATTTATCCAAGTGAAAAGTTCAATGTCAACACGAGTTAAGTAAGCAGCACAAGGAAGTAGACCACAGCCTCCCGTGCCACTAAGGACAATGTGGGTGGGGCTCAGGCTGTCAGGGGACACACAGAAGCAGGCAGGAGGGAAAAGAGGTCTTCCTGGAAGGTTGCTAAAGAGAGCTGAGAGTTAGGGCCACTAGGTTCTCCTCACCCTCAGTATGAGACCCCTTGGAGGAAGGGAGTCAACAGGGCAAATGGAGCAGAGCCAAGCACGAGGAAACCTCTTGTTTAGGTCTGCCTGCTAAACAAGAGCCATGATCCTTGACTGGAGGTATGGGTCAAGCAGTACAGCACCTACCTAGCAAGTGTGAAGCCCTGAGTTCAAACCCCAGTACCAAAAAAAAAAAAAAAAAAAACCAAAAAGCCCAATAAATGCATTGCTCCATTATAGTATCAACAAAAAAAAGAGCCATGATCCCCCTCTGAATCTTCAACTCTTCTCCAGAACCAAGTAAAGCCAGCGCCTTAGTGGTCTGACCCTGAGGTGACCTCTGTGGGCCCCAGTCTTCACATCATGGGCACTCAGAACACCTTGCCCCTGCCTAGTATAGGTCCTTCACGAGCTGCCCCTGCCCTCTGCCTACAGCTTCCGGAAGAACTTTGGCATTGGGGAACAGGAGCAGGAGCGGAAGCATGCAGCCTTAAAAGTCATCCAGACACAGCACAAGCTGCTGGGCCCCATGATCTTTGCAGAAAAGGTCATTACTGTACTCTTTGTCATCCTGGTGATACTCTGGTTCACCCGGGAGCCAGGCTTCTTCCGTGGCTGGGGTAACCTGGCTTTTGCCAACGAGGATGGGCAAAGGTAAGCAAAATTGGGAAAAGAGGGAAGGGAGCAGGGCCCCCAGTGCAGAGCAGGAGATAACTCTTGGGCAGGGGATGGGGACTCATCAGATATATCTGTGGGAGGGGCTCCTCGCCACCACCTCTCTAACCTACAGCCCTGAGCAGCCCTGACTATGGAGGGATCCTACTAAGCCTGACCTCCCTGCCCTACCCACAGCATGGCGTCTGATGGGACAGTGGCCATCTTCATCAGCATAATTTTGTTTATCATTCCCTCCGAGTTCCCCGGGCTGATTCAGGACCCAGGTAAGCACCTGGCCTGGGGCAGGGAAAGGTCTCCAGGTATCCCGTATGTACTTTTGACCACACTTGACAGGAGCTGACGAAGCTAAGAGAGTTTGGGAGTGAACTGCAAAGGGCACAGGAACTGGGAGACAAAGTTGGGATATTACAGAACTGAGGGATCCCTCCTGAATACATTAAGCTCCAATAGGGACCCAATAAAGGAGGCCCCAAATAGAGGGAAAGGAAAACCTGTTGGCTCTTGGTGACCCATCGTTCTCTGCTTGGGGAGTAGAAAAGCCAGGGAGGCTGAAGGCCCCTCCTGCCCTCCTCACCTGGAAGACAGTGCATGAGAAGATGCCCTGGAATATCGTGTTATTGCTGGGTGGTGGCTTTGCCCTGGCCAAAGCCAGTGAGGTGAGAGACCCCCGAGGCCCTTCCCAAGCCTGTCAGAAGGAGACCCTGTGGTAGGAAGAGAGGGGGCCCTACTTAGAAGCCTCCATGGTGAGGCAGAGCCTTTGCAAGAGCTGGAGAGATGTGACAGTCTCATCCAAGGTAGGAGTAAGAAACACGAGTCCTGGGGTCTTCTCCCCAGTGAGGTTCTCAAAGCCAAAGGGAAAGCAGTCTTCTCTGTTGAGCCGGGCTGCTTTCAGCAATTAACCCAGGCCAGCCCCTCACGCAAGCTGAAGAATGCAACCTCCTGGGCACCCAAGGAACTGACATTCAGTTGACACAGTGTCTGCTATAAACACTAGGGGGTGGCATGATCCTAGCTAACCAGGCTTTGTGGAGACCAGGGCATCTTTCTTCAGCGCCTCCGTATAAAAGAACAAAATGCCTGAAACTACTGCTCTGGGCCTCCGTGTTCTGGCTGAGTTTAGTCGCTGCACAGACAGGAGGCAGCTGCCCTGGGTTGGGAATCAGTGTAGGAGATTCCTGGATCTGTGCTTAGCTCATCCACGGACTATGCCAGGTGCCTTACTGGGTACAACAGCATGGAAGGAGTCCCAGCTACCCATGCAGTAACAGCAGACACTGTAGCCTGGCATGCACACATGGGCAGGGGCAAAACTCAGAGCTCTTCCCTCCCTGCAGGCTGCCCATCCTTCTTCGGCTTTTTCCCAGCCTCTTCATGTCCCTCCCCCTACTTTCTCTCCCTACCAGGAGCAAAGTCCCCTCAGCCCCAACACACTGGACTGTAGGGGACAGAATGGGGACTCAGGTTGTCCGGGGACCTCCTGGGAAAGGTCAGGAAGGCTGGGGCAAATGAGGTCAAAGATTTTTACTCCCACCAAGCCCCAGATTTCCCAAGAAGGCCTTTGGCCCCTCCTTCTAGTTCTCCATCTGTCTTCTCACCCAGCCATTCCAAGAGCAGCAGGGGTCCCTTGCTTCTATCTTCCTTCAGAGCTCTTTGGCTCTGAAGACTTCAGGGGTGTGGGCAGAAGTAGCGCCCTCCCAAAGCCCCAGCAGAGGCTGGGGCCCCACGCAACCCTGTCTCATATACACTCTTCCCATAGAAATCAGGCCTATCTGACTGGCTAGGGGAGAAACTGACCCCACTGCAGCATGTGCCACCTCCTGCCACTGCCTTCATCCTCTGCCTTCTGGTTGCGGCCTTCACTGAGTGTACGAGCAACGTGGCCACCACCACACTCTTCCTGCCCATCCTGGCTTCCATGGTGAGCGGGCCCTGCAAAAGACTTCTTCCATGTGGTTGTCCTGCCCACCCTTCTACCTGACAGGGTAACCTGTTGGCACCTCCTTTCCTGGCCTGGAGAGGACCCCAGAGCTTCTTGAATGCTTGGGTCCTTCTCCAGTTCTTGAGCTCTTGGTTCCTAAGATCTTCTGGCCCCTGAATCACCCCATTCCTGGTGACATCATCCTTACAGTATCCCAATGGGGTTCCCTAGTGGCCTCACCCACCTCCCTGCCCCAGCCCCTGTTCTGGTCATTCCAGAGGTGACGGGCAAAATTGCTCCCTGGAGCGTCCCCAGCCCCTTCCTCCCCAGGTGTGTTCCTGCAGCCTTTGATGACACCTCCAGAGCCCCTTTGAGATCCGTTTTATGGGCCCCTCCCTTTACTACACCCCACAGGGCAGGGCTGCACACTCATTCCTCCAGAGAGGTCAAGGGCCCTTCCCAGGTCACCCGGTACTGTCTGACCAGAGAGTTTGTTGGGTGTTGGGAGGTGCTGTCCCACAGAGAGGAGAAGGAGAATTGGGGGCTATGCCTTCCCCTCTAGTATGGGGACCAAGATCAGCTCTGCTCCCACTATTCTCCTCTAGGCTCAGGCAATCTGCCTCCACCCCCTCTATGTCATGCTCCCCTGTACCTTGTCTGCCTCCCTGGCCTTCATGCTTCCTGTGGCCACCCCACCCAACGCCATTGTCTTCTCTTTTGGGGGCCTCAAAGTGTCTGATATGGTGAGTGACAGAGAGACCCAAATGCTTCAGCCCTCTTTCTGCTCTGTCTTTCCAATCAGTGGACAACAAAGTAGCTGAATGGTACTGTGATTCTCAGAGCAGAGAGTGGGCCCCCAAGTGGGTTAGGGTGTAGTAAGGAAAGTTAAAGATGACAAGTGGAGTGTGGAAGGGCAACATGAGGAAAGTCCAGGGGCTCAGGTACCTCACTCAGGAAGAAAAACTCAGAAGAAAACAAGGCTCCAGGGCCCTTTTCCCTGTTGGCACTGACAGTAAAGTAAGTGGCCAGGACATTGCTTAGTGCTGCAGGTTACATCAAAGGTAGGACTTCTGGGGAAAGTTTTGCTGGTGGGCGGGCTCTGGAGCACCCCTGACAAGTGAGGGTGGGCACTGGGCTCTCTGCATCTGCTCACTCACACTGGCTGTCCTCACCCAGGCCCGCGCAGGATTCCTGCTCAACATCATCGGGGTGTTGGTCATTACCCTTGCCATCAACAGCTGGGGCTTCCCGATCTTCAGCCTGGATACCTTCCCGTCCTGGGCCCAGTCCAACACAACCCAGTGCCCTCTCAGCTCGCCCAACTCCACTGTGCCCAGCCCCTGATGTGGGCCAAGGCCAGGAAAACCCACTTGTCCCATTCCTCTGAGCCAGGAGGGGACGCCCTAAGCTCCAAGCCCTGGGCCAAAGGCAGAAGAACAGAAAGGTCCATGGATACACGCTCTAGCGTGTATTCATAAAGAAGGTGTGCACTCCATCTCCTGTGTGTCAGAGGATAACATGTGTGTGTGCGCGTGTGCGTGTGTGTGTGTGTGTGTGTATGGAGGGGTGTGTGTGGGTGGTGTGGTCTGGGGGGACCTGAGGGTGCATGCTTGACAGTGCTCGTGTGTATGTCCATGAAAATCCAACATACCCTTCGTCATCTCCCCAGCCTGTTAACCTGACCCCTTTGCAGTGTATTTATTGAAACTCAGGGATGGAGTAGCCTGGCAGCAGAGTCTGCCCTGGGTGCAGCCACTGGGACAGGTCCAGTAACAGAGGTCTCCCCGCCTGTAAGAGATTGGGGGGGTTCAATGTTAGCCACATTAAACTCTTTTTCAGTAGACTCTGGAATAGTCTTTCCCTGTATTTTTTGGGGCTGGTCTGTGGCATGGCTTTGGCCCAGGCTGGGATCAGTGTGAGGAGGCCTGGCCTCTGTCCTGAGTGGTGGCCCTCTTGCACCGCTTCCACCCACAGAAGGTAATGGTTGGACGCCCCTGCCAGGCTGCTCAGAGTGGGCGCAGCCACCCAGGAAAGCAGCACTGACATCACCGGCCAGCTAATTGGGAGCTGCCAGTCCCTGCGTGCCTTTGGGAAAACCGGCCTCCCCGTTCCCAGAGCACTCCCTGGCCATTTACATAAAACCCTCTGCCCCTGCCAATTCCTCACCGACCCTTCCTCCAGCTGGAAAAACCGGTCCCACCAGACCAGAGGAGGCAGGCTGACCCATGCCAGGTGCCCAGAAAGATGGACCCTCACCCAAAATGGCAGCCTGCAGCAAGAAGGATGCAGGTTAGACACATCAGAACAAGTTCAAAACTGCCATAACCTTCAGGGTCCAGAACCAGACAACTGCGATGATTCTGCCTCCTTATTCCACCTTTGTCCTTCCTTTGCCAACTCTCCATCACCTCAGACTTCAGGGTTTTCATTTATCTGACAAGGTGAGGGTGGGATGGGGAGGATGGCACTCCATCCATCATCCATTCTGGGATCAACATCCCTTCCTGGCTAGAAGTTCCTTTTTGTGTCTATGCTAAGTCTCACTGTAGATGGTAACATGTAGGCCTTGAGTTTGTCTAAATGGAAGTTTCCTAGAGTCTCATCAGTTCCTGTCCTTCCTGCTGCAGTAGGAGAGAAAAAATATTTACCACAGGGCTCATGCTTAAATAAAAAAAGGGAATTTAGCAGTGAAGAGAGAAGAGCCAAAAGGATTTCATCCTGTATCCTCCAGGCTGGGCTTTCATTCAGTTCTTCCAGAGCTGGAGGTTTGGTGGGAGTGCATTTGGGAGGGGGCTAGTGCACAGGGGAGAACACGGCTTTCCCCAGGGGACAGGGGATCCTGATGGAACATGCCAGACATCCAGAGAGTGAGGAGTGTCAGGTGAGTGGCTCCACCCCCACCCCGGCCCCCCAGGCTGGCATTCCTCACACATGAAGCACAGTCATAAATCACAGTCCCACCCAGACCCACACTAGGACCCCCCAGGCCCTAGACGACACCCCTCATTGGGAGCAGGCCAGCCCCAGGTGGCTAGGCTCCCCCAGTGGCTTGCCTATAATGCAGTGGGTGCCTATGGAAAAGCCCCAGTTCCACACACAACAAGGACCTTTTACCATTGCTTCTTTTGGCCAGGGGCACTGGGGTTTGAACTTAGGGTCTCACTCTTGCTAGGCAGATGTTTTTACTGTTTGAGTCACTCTACTAGTCCTTGACACTACTTCTTTCTGGACCCTGCGTGGGCACCTGTAGTCCAGCCCTGGTTGGGGCAAAGGCTTCTCGGGAAGCACAAAACTCACCCACTCTTTTTAGCTACATAGCCTCTTTAGGTCTCCTCAGAGGGGACCAGGTATGGGCCGAGGTCCCACAGTGGTCCTAGGGGCTGAGGACTGGCCTGGCCCTGCCTTCTTAGGGAAGGTGGATACAAGCTAGCTTGAGGGCTTACATGTTGGCCAGGCAGGAGCTTGGGGACTGAGCTTCTCCCTTGATGCTCAGAAACCACCCTCCTCAGCAGGCAGGAGGGCGGCCTGGTGGCAGGCAGCACCTGTCAGTCTAATCACCATCATTAGCTGGGCAATAAAGTGGCATGGACTGGGCCAGCCTTTGAAGAAGTGTCCATCAGCCTAGGTCAGGCCTGTACAAGCAATCTAGCAGCTCAGCCCCTTTGCACACACTCCAGGCTGCAGCAGGTGGATGGGATGCCACCGGGACTATGGCCTGTGACCTCCCTGCCAGACACCCACTTTCTATAGTTTGCTTCCCAAAAGATAGCAAGGGGCTTTGAGTGTCTCCTACCTGACAAACTTGTGCAGTTCTGGAACTCAAGAGCTGCTACAGTAGTGAGCTCCCCATTGCTGGAAAAAAAAAAAATCAACAAGGCTAGAAACAACTTACAGCCTGCCTGATGAAGCTGTGTCCCCAGTACCTACACAGGACCTAGCACAGTGGATGCGCAGAATGCTATGTGACCTTGACACACTTTAGGCTCCGTAGATAGGTCCAGATTTCTGAGTCAACTCCTACTGTTTCCCCTGCCCCTGTACCCTGAAGCCCTGGGAATTTCCCTGTTTCCTATCCCTTCCTCCTGCTGGCTAGCACCAGCCCCAAAGGCAGCCATGGCAACCAGAGGGATGGGAGAAGCAGCCATCAACCCTGGCAGGAGAAAGCTGCAGGGTGGAAGGGGAACTTGTTAGGGTGGTAGGAACAGGGATGTTGATCCAATGCTCTGGTTCACCTTGACCTGGGCCAGCCCTTGGGGGCTCAGGCCATGTGTTCCATGTCTCCCTGGTCTCAGAGTGAGGCAGGGTTGGGCAGGGCTGGGACAGGTGGAGCTCCAGTGGGTCCAGTCTAGAGAGTGTGCACTGGAGCCTCCACCCCAGCCGGTCCCATTAGTCACGGTCATCAGAGCCATGAAGTTTTACAAGAGACAGTGTAAGCCCCCCACCTCAGGGGCTGTGGGTGTGGTGCACAGGAAGGAGGAGAGGAGAGCAGATGAGCAGCCCAATTGGAAAGCCTGTGACAAGCACCCAGAAGACTTGCTCCTAAGAATGGGAAGACCCTCAGACTGGGTCTACACAGAACCCCCACACATACATGCCTAGGCCTGGGCACACATAGTTACACACACTCACACTCATGTGTACCAAGTTACAGCTCTCACAGCCCTTCAGACACCAAGGAGCCACTCTCAGAAACCCACACAGATATACAGAAACAGACATCTGTACATCCACAGTGCTCAGACCCCTGCACACAGGGTCAGACCAGTGTTCTCACAAGCACACAGAGACTCATGCACACTTACACACAGTTTCTGGCCTGAACGCATCAGCAGCATACTGTAGCTTCATGCACACCCATGATGGAGTGTAAGCGTGAGAGCAGAAAAGTAAATACTTACACACTCACACAGTGGTACACATGGACTACACTCACGCAGACACTGGTGCCAGTGAAAACACACCCACCCTACTTGCTTCTCCCCACCTCCATGGCATAACTCTCCACCCAGCAGGACTCTATGTTCCTCCCCCCAGACCCTCCTCACCAAGCTTGGAAACTCCCTGGACTTCCCAGGGGGTCAGCCAACCAGAACCAGAGCAGACCTCCCAGCCCAGCTCCCCTGCCGCAGCTCTGGCCTGGAGTTTCTCCATCACGCACAGCCAAGAAACTGCCTACCCTCCCCCAGGAAGCCCACTCTGGTGACCCCAGACCTGTCCAACCCACTTTGATGCAGGGTCTTTGGACTTCAGTATCTAATGCCAGCTGTGCTTGGGCACTGTTCCTCTGCAGACGTTCTTAGTGTCTTCCACGCAATGGAGTGAAACTTAGAGGACCTGGGACATGGCAGGCTCAGTCTTGAGAACTCTAAGACAAATCCAGACTATACATACAGAAGTGGACAGAAGATGGTCCATCCTGGTATTAGGTGCAGGGAAAACCACCCCTTCTCCATCACATTGGTACTTCGAGGGCAGGAACATACTCCTTCTCCCTAGGGCCCAGAGTCATGCTCTAGACTGGAGCATGGCAGACATTGGTACAGGAATTTCCACTCCGAGTGCAGCCTTGGGCAGAGCTCAGAAACAGACAGCTTGGTTCTTATTTTTGTTTTGTTTTGTGGGACTGGTGTTTGAACTCAGGGGTTTTGCACTTGTAAAGCAGGCACTCTACTGCTTGAGTCAGCTTGGTTCTGACGTCCAGTCTCCCAGGTGCAGAGCTTCACTGGGCCCAGCCCATCCAGGCCAGAGCCCAGCTCAGCACCATCTGCAGACATGAAATGAGGGTGCTGAAGATGGATGGTCAAACCTCCATACAGAAGTCTTTCCAGAGCCGAAGGTAGCATTGAGGGCAGAAGCACTAGGATAGACTTTCCAGGCCTAGGAAAGAACTCTGAGGGCCTGGTGTGGCCAAAGAAGAAGCAAAGTCTCCTATCCAGAGACAGAAAAGGAGGAGAGAGACCGCAGAAATCCCCATCCAGTCCCAGCGCTACTGAAATTCCCAAGTCTCCTGCTTCAGCTCCCAGACTGCTGGCAATGAGGAAGTTGTGTTTCCCAAAGGAAAAAGGGAGCCAGAGCCCACGCCCATTCCTGGGACAGAGGTTAGAGCCTCTCTTGGAAGAGGAAGAATCACATCTCACCCATCGGAAGCAGAAACTCACTGTAGAAAGGGAACAGCCACGGTCTCCTGTGCATTCTGCCATGCCCCCCCTAAGGCCCTGGACCCTAGAATTAATTTTCATTTCTTGAATTTTTTAAATTTATTTTTAGATAGGTCTTGCTATGTAGCCCAGGCTGGCCTCAAACTCACAATCCTCCTGCCTCAGCCTCCCAAGTGTTGGGATTACAGGTGTGTATCACTGGCTCCAAAATCTTACTGTTTTAATTGTAGAAGTCTTATTAGACATTTTGAAAACTGACAGGGCAAATTCCTCCTATTAGTCCTTTTTTAAAAAGTTTTAAACTCTTCACATGGGTTTACACATTCCCCCAAACTTCAGAATCAGCTTATCAAGTTCCAAGGGGGAAAAAACCATTGGAGTTTATTTAAATTACATTCCACTTGTAGATTACTTAGAAGAGAACCTACATCTTTAGAGTATTATAGTCTGCTTTCCAATTCAGGAATATGATGTGCCTTTATGTTTATTTAGGTCTTATTTTATGTCTGCCAGCAAAGTCTTTTGTTTCTTCATGTAGATTTTATGTTTCTTACTAAGTTTATTCCTGGGTATTTTGTAATATTGTTGCTACTGTGTATTGGATCTTTTGTCTCTATTTTCTTTTCTTTCGCTTTCTTCTTTTTTTGGATGGTGTCTTACTATGTAGCCCAGGCTGGCCTTGAACTCAGGATCCTCCTGTCTCAGCTTCCTGAGTGCTGGGATTACACATGTGAACGGTCACCATGCCTGACCTTATTTTCTAACTCTTTGTTTCAGTTGTAACGAAATGGTTTTGATTTTTACAGATTTAACTTATATTCTGTTACCTTACTAAATTCTCTCATTTGTTCTAATAGTCTCTCACTAAATTCTCTGAGATTTCTTAAACAATTACATCATTTATGGTTTTTTTTTTTTTGAAGATTTTACATTCTTCCTTCTCATATTTATGTCCCTTGTTTTCTTTTCTTTTTTTATCTTAGTGCTCTGGCTAGGACCTTCAGAATATTATTGATCAATGGCAATGATGGTGGACTTCACATTATAACTTTCCTGGTTCTCTGTGTTGAGCATCCCTACAGAAATACCTGTGAATCTAGAAATGACGATCAGTCCTGAATACATCAGCTCGGAGCAATTAGCAAGCACATAGCAAGTATTGACAGCTGTCCTTTCATTATTAGGTTTAAGCGAGCAAGACTTTGACTGACACTGTAAGTTCCAGAGAAAAGTGAATTGAGCCAGTGGACCCCAACCTAACCCTAGAAAAAAATTTCCTATACCCAAGAGAGCATACTAACACATTCTCCTCATTCCCACCTAGTACGTGTGGAGAGAAAGGAGGCATGTTTATTGATCACTTACTGTATACCAGGGATTGTGCTAGGAACTTTAAACACATAAATTTATTTAATCTTTCCAACAACTCTGTGCATGAATGCTATTCTCTTGTTAACAGATGAGGAAACTGAGGCTCTGAGTGAGCAGTGTGGAAGATCACACAGCTGACCGACATTTATAAGTAGGTGCATTGACAGCTGCCTGGCGCCTTCTTTCTGTTGAGCACTGAACATTCTCTGCCTAGAAGTCTCCAAATGTTTTAGTCTACTCCACACTTGTGCCAGATGACCATCACTACCCCCAGCCAAGGCTAACATTGCCTCTGTCAATGGAATGAGACACAGGAACTGGGGAGAAGCTGACCTGCCCATGCCCCAAGGCCAGAGGCCATGTCCCAGGCCTGGTGGGGCAGCTAGGTCCCTAGCTCAAGGGAGAGAGCTACAAGGGGAATTAGAGGCTGGACAAGAGAAGGCAGGGAAGGGAAGGAGTAGATAGAGACAGGAGACAAAAGTGGGGCATAGAAGATGCAAAAGGAAGCAAGGAGAAGGAGGTCGGGACAGAGACTGGGGCAGCAGCAAGAGGGCTAGCATGGAGCAGGGACTAATTCCACGTGGGCCCAGTGGTGGCCAGTTCCTAGACTCCTCAGGCACTGTACCCTCAATGCAGACCCTAAGGGGCCAGGTACCAGAGCCACAAACCACCCAGAGTTCTGTTTCCATCCTGCAAACCATAAAGAGTGGCTATGGAGTCATGACACAAAACCAGGGAGCCCCCCGCTCCACCCACAGACACCCAGATACATACACAGGGCAGGATTCCTGACCCAGAGCAGAGACATGTGCCCAAACATGTGGTTGTAAACACAAAGATGATACACAAGAGGACCCAGACACAGGCCTGGGTACAAGGACCAGAGCCCCACACAGATACAGAGCTCAGAGAAGACATAGAGGCAGACACATAACAACTCAAAGACAAACAGCAGTACCAGGGAGAGACATGAAAGACTTACATGCCCACAGGTGCACGGAGAGAGTCATATGCATACACGTGGGTACACACCCCTCCCATATACACACAAGGTGTCAGAGGGACTATGAAGAGATGGGCAGGTGGCTGGGCCCTGTGAACAGTTCCCAGCAAGTGTTGTGCTAGTGTTGGGCCCCTGATGGGGTCATCATCACTGTCCGTCCACACTATGCCTCGAAGAACCCTGGACTGCCACCACGTGCTGTTCCCTGGAACCCCCTTGTCAGCTCCATGAACATACATGTGTCGACCAGGCTCTCCTGACACGCATGTGCATGTCCTGACAAGCCTGGGCCCCACCCATGGGGGCTGACATCCCCATTCTGGGGTGCAGGTGGGGGCTACAGAACAACCCCTTCTCTACAAGTCACAGGCTGTGCCCACTGTCAGGGACAGGGGCCTGACTGGTGCAGGAGGAGGGAGGGGTTGGGGGGCTGGGGTGCGGCTGGGGCGGGCACAGGAGCCAGTACCTGTCAAACAAGAGCCAAGGAGCAAACTAGGTTCTTAGTCACCTTTCTCTCTCCCCGTTTTTGGCAGCAGCCCCTCCGGGCAAGGGGAAGCTGATATCATAATTATTGGCTCACCCAGCAGCTGCCTCCCCTCACCTGATGTCAGCACAGACCCAGGACAGCCAGGCTGACGGACTGACAGACGGACAGAGCTCCTGGCCCCCCAGACCTGGGCCCCCACGCTGACCTGCTTCACTGAGCAGGTAAGAGGAGACCCGACCCAAGTCAGCCGTGGAGGCCAGCAGGGCTAGGGCAGGGCCTGGGGAGGGGGCTCACTTTTTTAATGTGCCTCAGAAAGACAGAGAGCACCTAGGTTCTCTCCAGAGTCTCACTGCAGCTCAAGTGAAGCTTAGGATTGGGGTGAGTGCTTGAAGGCCTTGGGGGACCCCTTCCCCCATGCTCTCTCTCTCTCTCTCTCTCTCTCTCTCTCTCTCTCTCTCTCTTTCTCGTGCCTGTACAGCCCAAGTTGTCTAGCTTCAATCCTTCTTGCTGTGGGTCTTCATTCTGGTGTGTGGGGCTGGCTTTTGTGTGATGTCTCTATGTGGGTATGGGTGTGCTTACCTTACCCACCCTGGGCGGGGAGGGAACGAAGAACTGGAACTGGAAAACTAGAGCTGAAAGACAGGCAGGCAGATTCCCAGCCGAGTGGCTGTTCCAGGAAAGGAGACAGCCCACCTCTGGGGCCTGCGTGGTGCCAAAGGCATGTGTGGCTCAAGAAATCACTTTGCCAGCCTGGGCGGGGGTCTGAATGCCTGCAGCTCATGGGCAAGTATGGGTTGCAGAAAGGAGACGGTGCACCTGGTGGAGAGGCAGACAGGTGGCAAACAGGTGCTGAGGCTAGATGCTGATGCTAAACTGGAGGCAGAGTCCCCCAAAGTCTGGGAACTTTTCTCTTCCTGAAGACCCCTGAGGCAAAGAGGCCTGGCAAGCAGACCTGGGATAGGCAGGGAGCCTGTGGACCCCCAAAACCTAGAATTGGGAGTCCGGGGAGTGAAGGGCCTTGGAGAACCAGCTTGAGCAGCGGAAAGCCCACCCCCCACCCCCAGCTTCATGGCTTTTCCCCATACCCTGAGCAGTGAGGTTCTGACATTCGCTGGGGAGTCCCCCAGACCCTCCCTTAGTGTCCAAAGAAGTATGTTGGATGACAGGAAGACTCTAATAAGTGGGCGTGTTTGCCTCTTCTCTGCCCTACATGTGTGGGGGATATGTTTGGGGGTGTGTACTGGCAGGCACAGCTGGCCAGTGGGAAAGGACCAGATGGAGAGGGCTCCTCTTCTTAAGAAGCCTTTTCATCTCATCCATCCCCCTGCCTCTGTACTGGTCACTTCCCACACCAGCCGGGGCTGCTCATTCCCAGTTTTCCTAATTCCTGCAGGAGGAAATTCTCTCTGTTCCCTCACAGTCATGAAGTCCTTTCCAGATTCTCTCAGGAGTCTCTGCTACTACACACTCAGCTTTACCTGCCCCCATATCTTTCTCTTTCCCCAACTGCTGAATCCCAGTTCTGGGCTGATTCAGCCATGGGTGGGGAGAGTAGCATTGCTCTCCAGTCATATCCCCATTGAATTTGGCTAGGATCTTTTTACCATCTTGATCATTCCCTGACCCACAGGACAAGACAGGATACAGACAGAAAAAGGATATCCTTAATTGATGGGGGTATGGCAGTACCTCTGTCATGGCCCCTTTTTCTTGTGGCTCTGTGAGGGGCTTAGGTGGACTAGATGGACAGAGATAGGCCATTCCTGGGGAGAATCACAGTGGGCAGGGTCTGCCCCGGTTGGGGATCCTCAGAGATGAAGGTGCCACAGGGAGAGGCGCATGTCTTCCCAGCTCCCCGCCTGGCCCCTCCTGTGCAGCCTCTGCCGAGCTCAGCTCCCGGCTCCAGGGCCTGCTGAGGCACGCTGCACCCCCAGGCCCGGCGCCTCACTCACCTCCCAGAGCCAGGAACCTGTTCTCCCGGGAATGCCAGGGAGTTCTTAGAGGACTGTATTTCCCAGGGGCTTAGGGAGCCCCAGAATTCTCTGGACCAACAGGTCCTAGAAAAAACAAGAGTAAGAGTAGGGGGCTTGGGACCTTTCCCTGCTCCCCATCTTCATCGCATCCACACACCAACCCCCCATCTCCTCCAAACAACAGTTTATCAGTCATTGTGCTTACCATGAGAAGGAAGAGACTTGGGAAAGTTAAAGAAGAGGGGAAAGCCTTCCCCCCCACCCCCATGGCACATGCTTTCTGTCATGTGCCACCCTTTGCCTCAGGGAAGTCTTCCTTTAGCCCCCATGGAAAGTCCCATCTACCCTCTAAGAAAGCAACATAGCACCATTGCCCTTGACTCTCCATCCTTGCCAACCAGGAAGTCATTCTGATTTCTAACCTCTCACCTTCTGGCTTGAATTGAGCCTGGTCTTCATGGACCAGCAGAACCTCCATTGCTTGCACTGGGTCCATGTGCATAGCCAGAGACTGTTCCTAAACTACCCTGAAATGTCCAGGGAACTTGTGGAACTGCACCTGCTGCCCTGTCATCCTCTTCAGCACCATATTCTAATGAAATTGGGGGCCACTTCTGCTGAACCTCCTCCCCTGACAGAGGGAGGGAAAGGACAGAGGCCTGTAAGTCTGACACCATCCCTGCTGTGACCCCATTGCCTTCTGCAGCAGGAGAGACTGACAGGTGTCAGGGAAGTTGTTCAGCATTTTAAATTGAGTATGCCTGGCCTTTGTGACTACAGGAGGTGGTTTCCTGAATAGAGAGGCAACGATTGATCTGAGATGGATGGGACACACCCAGGAGCAGGGGAAGGACAAGGTGACTTCTGGAGAGTACATCCCAGAAGCACTAATCAAATGGTCCCTGAATAAGTTGGATCTTTCCAAGTGTATCCATCCCCATTTCCCACCCCTTCCTCCATCTCTATGCTGGTCTCTTATCTCATCCCCAACCTCATCCCTAAACCTTCCACCCCATCCTCATCCCCTTTTCCTTTCCTTCCTGCCTTCCTTCTTTTCTTTCTTTCTTTTTCTTTTTGTGGTATTGAGGTTTGAACTCAGGGCCTCACATTTGCTAGGCAGGCACTCTACCACTTGAGCCACTCCGCCAGCCTTCTTTTTTCTCTTTTTGAATCAGGGTCATGCTATGTAAGCCCAAGCAGGCTTTAAACTGGAGATCTTCCTGCCTCGGTCACCCAAGTGCGGGATGATAGGCCTGTGCCAACACAGCTAGCTCTGTTTTCTTTATCTATCTATCTATCTGTCTATCTATCTATCTATCTATCTATCTATCTATATCTATTTTAGAGATGGAGGTCTTAATATGTTGTCCAGGCTGACCTCAAACTCCTGGACTCAAGTGATTCTCCTGCCTCAGTGTCCTAAGTAGCTTGAATTACAGGTGCACGCCACTGTGCGTGGCCACCCATCTCCATTTTTAATCACAGCTCAGCTCCCTTCCTTTCTACCTCTTTATCCTCATTCCCAACTTTACCTCCATCTGTACAAGCCAATCTCCTCTTCCTCCTACCTCACCTCCTCAGCCCTGCCTCCATCGTCCTTTCTGGTCCTATCTCCCTATCCAGACCATCCCTAATTCCACAAGATGGATTTCCCTTTATGCCACAGATCCCTTAGGAGTCCAGCATCCCTCACCCCTGCCCCCACCAGGTCCTCATCTGTCTCCATTGTCTCCTAGTATTGAGGGAAAACCCAGAGCCATGCCCCTGGCATGGATGGATTGGATGGGAACATCCCTGGAGAAGCCCTCAGCTTCCTGATTCCATTTGGGGCTTAAAGCCTGTGTGCTGGCCAAACAGTAAAAATGGGTTCAGCTGGGGGTGCATATCAGTGGCATGAGGTCCAAGGTTTTATCCCCAGTCCCCACAAAAAACACGTAAGTTCAGATGTAACAGGATGAGTTGAAGTGTGATGTCCAGACAGAAACTGCCAATGTGTAGCAGGAGAAGTGGGGGGGGGCGGAGATACGTTCAGAGTGCCCAGAAAGGAGACAGTTGCAACCTATCTGGTGGGGGTGGGGAGGTGGGAGTACGACTGGTCTGATCAGGCATGGCCAGGCCAAGGCAGGAAGATGGACAAGAGGTGAAGCAAGGAGGCCCGCCAGGTGGTTTAGGAATGACTGCCACTGTCCTGAGCATCCCCCAGTCTCTACCCCGCCTGTGGCTCCTGCTTAGTCAGCTCAGATTAATGGGGCCGGGGAGAGAATTAGCTGAATCGTGATCTCTCAGGAAACTAGACTTGAGAGGCTGCTGTGAGTCACAGAGAAAAGGGAACCTGTGCTGTCACAGCCACTCTGGGAACTCCAGGGGCTGGGCACCCCTCACAAGCCACCCCCCCAGCCCAAGATATAACAGAAAGCCCACTGGGAGGCTGGGTCCTAACACTCCACTCCACACTCATGGCCATCAGTTGGCTTAAAGTCCTACCCTCATACACTCTTTGGGGACCTTTAGGGCTCTCCCAGTCTAAAAACACTGCTTCTGACAAACTACAGGCCAGCCTAGGCACACACACACACACACACACACACACACACAGAGCACAGGCACATACACACACACCATACACACACACACACACACACACACCCCACACACACATACACACAGCTCGGGGTGTGTCCCTGAAACCGGATTGCCTGAAGACAGTTGGAGGTCCCACCTACACTTGTAAATTCCACAGCTATGTCCCAGACTGCACCAGCCCATTGGGCTCGGAAGGCATAGGATGTATACAAGGATGTATACACACACACACACATGCACAAGCACACACACTTCACAGTGAAGTATGGAGTCTCTGTAGCCCCTCCCCTGCACTGAGCAGAGTGACCACAGCAGTGCTCACAGTCAGCGGTAGATGGTATCCCCAGCTCCTTCTGAAGGGGGTCGCAGAGCTCACACCTGGCCCCACAGAGCCAGTGTCTCTGCTTCACTGGGCCTTCCCATGAGCACATGCAATGTACCAAAGGTGGGAGGAAACCGTTTGGAATGGCAGTGCCAGGCCCAAGAAGATCTGAGGGTGTCAAGGGAGAAGAGTGGGAACTGGAGCCCAAGAGCCAGATGGGCCCAGAAAGACACTCTCAGAGCCTGCCACTTCTCTAAGGGCATGCCTGAAACTAGGAGCCAATTTCACGTAACCTAGGTGCCCAAAGGAGAAAGCAGTGTACAGGCAACTGCATAGCATGGAA